AAAAAAAATGTGCAAAATGATGTAAAAATAAACTTTTGTAATAAATAAATAAATAAATAAATAAAATAAAAATAACTGTAAAGAGTCTTTATATTGTATTAATTTCAACTTGAGTAAAAGAGTATGACAATTTCAATATTGCCACTCATTTCTTTTCAAAGGGGATGAATAAAAATGAGTCAGAAATGTTTTCCCTTTGAAATAGTGACCAGTTATGAGTCATATTGTCTGGGCTGTCCCTCATAAAAGTGGAAGTAGAAATCTATTACACTTTGAAGATAAGTAAATTTCTTAAACCAGTGTGATGATATGACTATTATTTGACACAATTATCGATAGAAAAAGAAAGGTTAGAAAATGCCTGGTATATGTCTCAAGACCCAGAAATTATTTTCCCTCATTGCTTATTTTTAAAATTCAGTTAAAAATAAATTGATTAGGGCCCTCCCTGGTGGCGCAGCGGGTTAAAGCACTGCACTGAGAAGCTAGGGCCACTTCCGCATGAGTTCGATTCCTGCCTGCCCCGGAGGTGACCACATGGCGTGGCAGACCTCTCCTGGCCCGCCCGCTGCTCCCCTCAGCAGTGTACTGCGTCGATCTGCCTGTTCTGCTTCCCACTCTGTCTCTGGTGGGTTCTCTCACCCTCCTCATCTCTGGCCTGTACCCCAGTTCTGTACGAATAAATAAATCTTTAAAAAATAAATAAATAAAAAAATTGATTATTTTAAGAATTTAAAAACTAGTCTTAGTCCAGAGGAGGATATCACAGATGACTGGGAAAACAAAACAAATGATTCTAGGCTTTTTTTTTTTTTTTACTAGCAAAATACTTTTATTATTTCATAATGATAAGGAAAGTAAAGATTTCTTTTTGGTGTATACAAGAATTAAAGGAAGTAGAAGAATAAGGGAATTAATAGGATTTTTTATGTATTTTGATGACAATAAAAAGTTAATACCAACTGTTTGCCAGAAAGCTTCCCCCAAACACAACATATAAAGAATTATAGTTTTAAAATCTATAAAAGTAAAAAATATAGCCAGGAGTTCTAATGCTTATTCCATCTTTAATATAAAATTGTAAACATTTATTTACACAAAGCAAATATGTATAACAAAATCCGAGCACCCTTTTTGAGTCATGGCTCCTGAAAAACAGGGATCTACATTGAAGGGGAGCTGGCTCCTCCCCTAACCACCCCCCAAAAAGATTCATAAATAAAACATGGGCAATTCCCTGGGAAGATCCCAGCATCACATTTTATTGCTCTGACATCAAAGCAGGTGTGGAGCATGTGTTCTGTCTAGGCAGCCCAAGGACTAAGACAGGGCCACCCCCCAGGAGGGTAGGTGGAGTGCCCCAGGACAGAGGTGAGCAGAGGGCAACCAGGAGAGGAACAGGATGATTCTAGGCATTTTTTAACTCCTCAGTGCTAATACTGATAATGAAGGAGTAACAGAATGAGCAGGTGCTCTATATGAAAAAGTCCCCTAGAAGATTCCCCCCCACCCCATGCTTTCCCTGTTTCTCTACTTCTAAGTCCTTAATGATAGTTAGCTCTTCTAACTGGTTGATTAGAACTTTTGGGGGTGTTTTCAAAGATACAAATTCATATAGCTCAAGTATCAATATTTTGATCCAGTGTGGACCCTTCCAGTCCATGCTTGATGAGCTCATGGGGCAATCTGGTATTGATCACACTTACGTAGCTCATGAATGTGGCCACTCGATCCCCTATGTCGTCAATATCCAAAGAGTTGATCTCAGGCCCCTGTGGTATTAAATGAAATATGCAAGTATTAGGCTTAACTAGTTATGAAGCATGATAAACACCTGCTTTCCTATCTGCTATAACTAAGGATATAATGTAAAAATGAGCAAGCCATTATAATGAAATGAGGGACACACCACCCCTTTAGGATGAATGTATAAGTAGACAGGGAGGTGGAATGGAAACTCTGTAGGAAGGACAGATGTAAAAGTGTTAGAACAAATTACCAATCCATGAATTTACTCATCACATAGAAAATTCAATAGCTATCAGGAAAGATGACTGAAAGGGAATGAATGTCACTCTTTAAAAAAATTTGATTCAAGGGACAGTTAGGTCGGGAAAAGTTCGGAGGGTCATCATAAGCAGTCTGAACCACAGGAAGAGGCTGACTTTTGCTTTTAAGGTCTTACTCAGCAAAAGCTGTTCTTACCTAACACAGTTTCCCAAATTCCTGTATCTGCTGAGTGGATCCTAACTGTACTCTTGTACTCTGCAGTGAGGAAAATTTGATTCCAAGGACATTTGTTTTTAAACTTTCTTATACCATTATTCATTTTTTACAATTATTTTATTTCTTCCCTCAAGTATAGCCCCTGTAACTCTCCCACCATATCACCTCTGAACTGTCACCAGGGTCCCTTGTACTCTTCCCTCCTGTTTTGATCCCTCTCCTTCCCTCTTCCCTGCTGTATGCCTCAGATCTATAGTCATTTGCAAGTGTTATCTTTTTTTATTTTTGATACTTTGTTTGGTTTCCTTACATTTCTCCTATAAGTGATGTCATCTAGTATTTTTCTTTTTATTTGACTTATTTCACTGAACGTAACCCCTCACAACTCCATCCATGTTGCTGAAAATGGCATGAGTTTATCTTTTTTGATTGCTGTGTACTATCCTTTGTGTCTTCTTGATTCTTTCCTATGTTTGGGGGCATTTAGGTTGTTTCTATATCTTAGCTGTTATAAATGGTGCTGCAATAAACACAGAAGTGCAGGTTTTCTTTAGAATTAATTTTTGTGCCCTTTGGGTAGATTATTAGGAATGGAATTGCTGGGACATATGGTCACTCCATGTTTAGTAATTTGAGGGTTCAACCACCCCCAAGCGTTGGACTTTGGATGGTTGGACCAAGATGCATTCCTACTAGCAGTACACGAGTATTCCTTTTTCTCCACATCCTTGCCAGCATTTATTGTTGCCAGTTTTGTTTTTTTTTTTTAATATGGATGATTCTCACTGGTGTGAGGTGGTATCTCATTGTGGTTTTGCTTTGCATTTCCCTATTTATAAGTGATGTTGAGTGTTTTCATATGTCTGTTGGCCATATGCATTTTCTCTTTGGAGAAGTGTCTTTTTAGTCTTTGTGCCCATCTTTTTATTTTTTTTAAAGATTTATTTATTTATTCATACAGAACTGGGGTACAGGTCAGAGATGCAGAGGGTGAGAGGCTTCACCAGAGACAGAGTGGGGAGCAGAACAGGCAGATCTACGAAGTACACTGCTGAGGGGAGCAGTGGGCAGGTCAGGATAGGTCTGCCACGCCATGTGGATCTCCTCCGGGGCAGGCAGGGATCGAACTCATGTGGAATTGGCTTAAGCTTCTTAGTGCAGTGCTTTAACCCGCTGCGCCACCAGGGAGGGCCTGTGCCCATCTTTTAACTAAGTTGTTTATTTTTGTTGAGGTGTGAAGCTCTTTGTAGATCTTTGAGTATCAGTGCCTTATCAATTGTATGGAGTACAAATATTTTCTTACAGTCTGTAGTGTGTCTCTTCATTTTAGTTATTGCCTCTTTTGCTGTGTAGTTTGATGTAGTCCCAGCTATTTAACTTTCCCTTCATTTTCTTTGCTTCTGGGGATGAACCCTTAAATATGTTTCTCAGATGTATGTTGTGGAGTGTTTGGCTATGTTTTCTGCTATCTATTTTATAGTTTCAGGCCTTACATTCAAATCTTTTGTCAATTTTGAACTGACTTTTTGTGTATGATGTGAAGGAGTGATTAGTTTTATTCTTTGCATGTAGTGTCCACTTTTCCCAGCACCATTTATTGAAGAGCCTGTCCACATCCTAGTGTGTAGTCTTTGCTTCTTTGTCATAGATTAGCTGACCATATACATGTGGTTTTGTTTCTGTACTTTTTGATTCCACTGGTCTGTGTTTTGTTCCAGAACCATGATGTTTTAATTATTATAGCTTTGTCGTATATTTTTAAGTGTGGGAATGTAATACCACCATTCTAGCCCAAGACATTGTCTTCTGAAGGTATAAATTTAAAGAAATAATCTGAGCTCAGACGTACCTCTTACAGTAAGAGTTTTCTGAATGTTCAGATTGTACACCTGTTTACTAGATACCTGAAACACTGTATACATAACTCCTTTATAGCACTTACTCAATTTTTTTTAATTAGCTGTTCATCTATGTTTAAAAGAAAAAAACAATCAAAACAAAGACATTGTATTGGAAATGATATAGTCTTCTTTGTCTTCCTATCTCTAATTCCCAGGAGAGTAACTGGAACAAAGGAACACTTGTTTAATTTGCTAACTCAGATTATCTTTTCCAAAGCACAAAATGTCTGTCTTCAGTCTGTTTTTGGCTCAGCCACTCCAGGGGCTTACGTTGGACTAACATATTAGAGTTTAGAGCAAAAGGCTGAAGTGCTCCTCCCATCAACAGACAAGTTAGGTCTGCCCGAGACAGAGGTAGCCAGGAAAGTGAGGTTGTAGGTGTGAGCAAAGGACTCTATGTGATTCTTCCAGCGTTTTCCAGTCCAGGAATTCATCTCTATTCCAGGTGCCAGATGGTGAAAAGATCACATTTGGAGAAAAGGGTAAAAATTATCTTGTCTTCTGATTTTAAAGGTCTCCAAAGATTTATCACTGAGAAGTTAGAGTCCCTAAATTTCTGTCAAACCTCTCATGACAGTCCTGCCCATTTCCTGCCACTGGAAACATAGCCCACATGTGTAATATTTTGCTCTTACCAAAAAATAATCCAAATGAGGTCCAAAGAATCCTCCAATACCATAATCAGTAACCTAGAAGTAACAAAAATAAACAAACAGGTTGCCTAGGTGGATAACTCTAGGGCAAGCCCAGAAAATCTGCCTTCCTAGATCTGCTTCTCAAAAGCAGACAATAAGCAGTTCATTTAGCACCAACATCTAAACAAAGAAACTAAAGATCAAGCAGGGTGTGGAACTTAGTGAGTTTAGATTCAGGCCCTGGCATTTTGGTTCTGAAGCCCATGCTCTTAAATACACAGCCATCTGTGGGCCTGTAGAAAGAAGAAAGAAGCTGATTGTTGGTAGCCCACAATCAGGCTGGGTAGGTAATTTCTGTGGGAAGAGGTAAAGAAGTGAGGTCCACAATATTACAAGGTCAGCATTCCAAGGACAATGGAAAGTTTCAAGGTAGAGGGACAATGGTTCACTTGTCAGATGGTAAAGAGCAAGAAAGTGGAACAGTACTCCTTAAGGTTGACTCAAGACATATCATACCTGGAGAAGCTCTGCTGTTTTATCTGACAGCCCAGTGATTATCTGAATCCTTCGATTCACTTGGCCAATCACGGGATCTTCCTCTTCTTCCAGAAATACACTGGATGGGGGAAAATGTGATGGAAGGGTAAAGGTAATTGGGAATCAAGGTGAGTAAGAAGAAATAGGGTAGAAAAAAAGGGAAAAGTTTAGAGGGTTTTGGAAATCATTCCACCAACACCTGGACAGTGTGTCATAATTGTCATTTCTGGCTCAAAAATGCCATATAAGAAGATTCAAAATCCTACAACATCAGCATTCAAAGAGCCCTTGGTATTCGTTCCTTCCAATCTTTTCATCTGATAATAACAATACTGAGACAATACTAAAGAAGTGAACTGCCCAAGTTTATAAAGCCAGTAAGTGGCAGAGCTGGGATTATGACTCAAGTCTTTAAGATTTTAGTGGTGATATGACAAGACTCCCCAAAGTTTTAAGTCAAACCATACTGTAAGCCAAACCAAAATTTAAGTCAAATCATAATCACAAGGATTATGACTTCATTCAGGCTACAATGAAATCATACCTCAGAATTATAAACACAAATCACTAACATTCACACAATCATACATTAAGATATGCACAGTCATACCTACGGATAGTATAAGAGACAAACAGTGAACAAATAGACACACACAAAGCAACCAACCAATTCTGAGAACTCTCACATACATAAGCAGGATGCCAAACCACCCCATCCCTAGATTACCTTTGGCTGACCCTGATTTCATCTGATTCCACAAAATCTGAAGCACTATCAAAGATTCTGGATCGTCTCAACTAGGGAATAGAACCTGAGAATGAGTACAGTCTCACTTTATCCCTATCAACTTATATACAGAAATCACAGATATAGAAATATTAATAACTTGTTCATTTTTTAAAGAACTTATTCTGAGCTATTTCAAACATACAAAAAACCTTGGATAATAATATATTGCATTCATAAGTACCTTTCACTTGGGCATGCCAATTCTCACTTAAGCATTGTGAGAATTCTCCAGGTGAGGCAGAATAGTTACCTATATGACACCTACTTTCTCTATTAATATAGTTCTCATTTTATTTAGGACACCAAAGTGCTCAGGAAAGATTATGCCTTCTTATCAAACTTACAACCTAGTATTATGCTGATTATCTGATGGAAAATTATGTTTAAACACAAAAGGTGTTAAGAAGGGAGATTTCCTTATTAAAGAGGAAAAGCTAGTTGTGGCAGATTATTATTATTATTATTTTTTAAAGATTTATTTATTTGTGCATACAGAACTGGGGTACAGGCCAGAGGCTCAGGGGCAGTGAGAGGCTTCACC